TGCCTGCAAAGTGTGTCTCCAGCGTCTCTCCAAGATTTCACTATAGGAGGCTCGCTTTCTGCTTCCTACCTCTAGCCGCCATCTTGGAATTCTCTCGAAATTTCAGTCTTAATAATTTTAGTGTTTGTCCCTCAGCCCCCAATCCTGGAGATCTTGCCTCATATGTTGTTCTGTAGTTGTCTCATCAAAGGGGAGACATAAAGTGGAACAAAACTGCACAAAAAAAAATGCCCACCAAGTGTCCCAAGTTCAAATGCAATACAGTTTCAGTTAGTTTTTCAGCATGCAGGCCTAGTTCTGTTGTTTTCTCATCAAAGGTAGGGAGAGAAAAAAAAAAAAGAGTCTGGAGACAGGTCTGTGATTGGCTATCTGCTGCTGTGGCTTGCCCGCCTGCTGCTGTCAGCCTGCTGTTGCTTGCAGCGTTATTTATGCAGATCTCTGGGGTGAGCTTAGCACTCACCTGGCCCTGCAGGCTTTGTTCACTCAGAGTTCTGTGTGCTACAAACTTTTCCCTTTCCAAGCACATTGGGAAAGGTGACACTGCACTGGCTTTCGCAGGCCTGAGTGTTTATTTACAGTTCATGTGGGAAGTGGGTCTTCCCCCCCTCTCCTGTGGAGTTTTCCTCCCTCTGCCACTCTCAGAAACTTTCCGGCTCCGGGTTGCTGGGCGCACACCCCTGCTCCTGCTGGAGCCTCTCTGGCCAGGCCTGGCTTGTTCATTTGCAGTTCCGGAAAGGATTCCCCTCCCCCCCTTCGGAGCTCAGGGTGCCCCACCCTCTTTGCCACGTGTCTTTATTGTTCTTATTGCTTAATATTCAGTTTCTCTTATTTCCCCAGGTGGGGGTCGGTCTGTCCAGGTGGCTATGCTGCTCTGGCCCAGGGATGTCTGTGGGAGTACCGTGTACCGCTTAGCTCACCTTGTCCACGTCTTCCCCAGCCATCTGGGCGCAGGCAACTGGCAGTGGCCTGGGGGCCCTCCTGGTTTCTCTGTTTAATGTGAAGTGAAGATTCTCAGTGCAGGCTGGAGGTGTGGTGGGGTCAAAGTTTTGCGTCTTCTCGGTGGCCTTGCCTGCAAGGTGTGTTTCCAGCATTTCTCCAAGATTTCACTGTAGGAGGCACGCTTTCTGCTTCCTCCCTCTAGCCACCATCTTGGAATCGCTCCTAAATCTTGCTTTTTAATCCAATCAGTCAGTCAGTCAGTCAGTGTATGTCTTTTATTGGAGAGTTACGACCATTTACATTTAGGGTTATTACTGAAGGGTATTTACTGTTTCCTGTGGTTCTGTTGGGTTTTTTTTTCTAGGTTGATTCTAGTGTTCTTTTATTTCATCATTATTCATCTTTGAGTTTTGCTGGCTTGCTGAGTTGAACATATTTGATACTTTTATAATTCTCATGTGTTTATTCTACTGTGTGTAATATTCTCTTATATCTCTTCTGTAATGAAGACTTGGTGGACATGAACTGTTTTAGCTTGAGTTTATCCTGGAAGGTCTTTTATTTTTCTGTCAAAATTGAAGGCTAACTTTGTTGTAGGTAGTAGTCCTAGTGGTAGTTAATTTTCTTTCAGAGCTTGAAATATATTGTTCCATGCTTTCCTGGCTTTTAGAATTTGTGCCTAGAAGTCTGAGGTAATTATTATGTGTTTACCTTTGCATGTAAGGTGGTGTTTTTCTGTTGCATGTTTCAGTATCCTTTCTTTGTTTTCTAGTTTTGGCATTTTTTACTGTGATGTGGCATGGTGAAGTTCTTTTCTGGTCCTGTGTGCTTGGGATTTGAAATGACCTCTGTACATGGATGTCTATATCTTTCCCAAGATTTAGGACATTTTCTGTGATAATTTTATTGATCTTTAAGTTTGCATTGAATTTATATATATCATGATGATTGAAATTTGTCATTGGGCTGATTCATTGGGATCTGGCACCTCTTTTTCATGGAATAAAAAGTCTTTTTGGAATATTCTTTCCCCCATTCTCATTCATTATTACTGTCTTTACCCTGAAGTTTACTAGATGTGCCAAGGCATAGACAGAGCTTAAGCTCAAGCTGTGAATCTTTACTGTGGAATTTGCAGAAGTTTTCTCTGTTATTGAAAACTTACCAAAATTTAAAGACTATATAATTTATCATTTGGGTACATCATATGATGGGCTAAAATCAATTGGACTTAGAGGCAGTATGACAAAGAGGTTAAGAGCCTGGACTTTGAGGTGAGATTCAGCATGATCTTTACCTTACTAGCAGTGTCACTTTGGGCAACTAATTGAATCTCCATTTTCTTTTCCATTTCTCTAGAATATCCATTCTCTGTGGGTATAACTCTACTATGTTAGTCAGATTCCCATTACTGTACAAATGCCTCAGAAAATCAATTTATAAAGAGAAAAGGCTTATTTTGGCTCAGTTGTCAGGGCTTAAGTCCCTGGTTGGCCCCTTTGCTTTTGGACTTTTGGTAGGCAGTATATCATGGCTGAGAGCCTATGGCAGAGCAAACTGTTGACTTTATAATTGAGAAGTGAAGGAGAGAGAGAAAGAGACTGAAATCTAACTGTGCCCATTCAAGGGCATGTAGTCTATGATGCAAAGAGCTCCCACTAGGCTCTACTTCTTTAAGGTTCCACCTCTCAGTAATGCTACCCTAGTTAATAAGTATTTAACACATAGACCTTTGAAGGACATTTAAGATCCCAACTCTAGCACCTACTATTATGATAACTAGAAGGTGAGGCAGACAGAGTCCATTATTTAGAGAGAACCCAATCACTTAAGCCACTCTGCCAGAGCTAGAAAAAACCCAGTCATATTAATATATATAGATGATAGATAGATAGATAGACAGACAGATAGATAAAGTAGTCTCTTTGATGAGTGCTTGGAAGACCCTTTTTCCCTAAGTCCTCTGATTTCCATGTCTGCATCTAACTATGCCTACCCCTCCCCAAAGTCCTAGCTTCATTTTTCCATTATGCTGTTGTTTTTGTATTCAGATATTAACATATCAGTTCTGGGAAGAGCACTGACAGGATAAACAACTAATTCTTGGTGTCACTGATCTGTTTACATAGCTTAATTTCACTATGTTGTTATATTAAAATACTCAGTCATAAGGATGGGAAGAAATAGTAAAAGTAAATTAATACAACAGAACTCCCTTAGGCTGAGCCTAGGGAGAGTAATAGCTCCTTTTCTTCAGGGATTGTTGTAAGAATTAAGTGAGATCTGTTGTAATTGGTTTTTGTTTTTCATTAATACAATGCTGTATAAACACTTAAATTTTTTTATTCCTTTATATTATTTCCTGGGAGACATATATATGCATATATATGATATTTTATTGATACCTGAGTGTACTTTTATTTTATTTTACCTTTTATCTTACAAAATTTTGTAGGCTTTATTAAAATATTTAAGCTTATAGAAACATGTCCTAAAGTTTATGGGAAAATCTAATGAGAAGCACTTGCATTTGGTTTTTACTGAATTTGGTGTTTGCTATTGCTACCCATGGAGTTATTAAACAGTGCTGTGCATTATGATGGTGCTGATCACATATGGCTATATAAACTGAAATTAACTAAAGATAAAAAGATAAAACTGAGAATGGTGGTACACTCTTACAATCCTAATACTCAGCAGGCAGAGGCAATATGATTGCAAATTTGAGGCCAGCCTTGGCTACTTACAGAGTTTTTCCCCCATTTTTATTAGCTTATGTCCATTGTACAGGGGGCATTCATTGTGACTGTGACAATTCTGGACAGTTTTACATTATATATTGGCTAGGTGACCCCACCATTCCTCCTCCCCCTACTTAAAGCAATTACAAAAGGTTTCATTGTTCTATTTCATATTACATAGTGAGTTTGAAGCTGGCCTGGACTGTATAGTGAGAACCTGTCTCTTAAAAAAAAAAATTAAAAGATAAATTTAGTGCCAGGCACTAGTGGCTCACGCCTGTAATCCTAGCTGCTCAGGAGGATCGTGGTTTGAGGTCAGCCCCAGCAAATAGTTCAAGAGGCCCTATCTCGAAAAAACCCATCCCTCCAATAAAGGACTGTTGCTGTGGCTCAAGGTGTGTGTAGGCCTTGAGTTCAAACCCAAGTACTGAAAAAAAAAAAAAAGACAAATTTAGTTTCTCAGTTGTGCTACCCCCACATTTCAAGACCTATTAGCTTTGTTTGTAACTACTGGCTACCATATCAGATAGTACATATATTGAACAGTTCTGTCAGAGTAGAAACTTACACTGTAGAGCACTGAACTCTAATATGAGAAAATTAATTAACCAAATGTTCTATTTAAATAAAGTCAGAGAGTTGGCTACAAAAATTGTTTTCTGTGGTTCTATATCATCTATAAGTTTTGTAATGAATACCATTCTAGATGCACACTTACTACCTTGTTGCATATTTCTGAAGTGTATTTTTAAGGTTTTTGTAAATAAATAATACATTGTTGAATTTTAATGTCTCCTTATTTTTATTCGTCACATCCTGAAGTTATAAGTTTCCATTTGTTTTAACAACATGTAAATATTTGTCTCTGTTCCATTGCCATAACCATATGGCCTAAAATAGCACTATTGAAATGTGATCATTTTCTGTCTGAAATGGATTATGTTGATCACATTGTATACTAGGAATTAGAGAGTTTAAGACAATGCAAATACATGCTTCATCTTTTGTAATTATAGGCCTTTGAGAATCTTGAACAATGGGAAGCTTTACAGTGCTCCTGTTTATTATATAGCATACTCTTACATACAGTTTGCTCAAAGAATGGTTATGAGATTTATAATTTTCTTTCATTAAAAGATAATACTTAATTTTTTTAATCCTAGGAAGCTCTACAGAGGATCATTTCAACTCTGGCAAATAAAAATGATGAAATTCAGAACTTTATTGATACACTAAATCATACACTAAAAGGAGTTCAGGTATGAATCTTCTTTCATTAACATTTGTGTAAAAATGTCATACTGAATGTTGAGGCAAATCTGAGGCACAAATATACTCTGTCAACTCTAGGTTATAAACTAATAGAGGTCAGAGATGAGTTTTAAAATGGCAGAAAAAGTAAAAATATTTTCCTTGCCATTCCTGCATTCTCCATGGAAAAATCAAATGGTAAGAGAGAAGGAAAACTCTGGAGTAGTGGTTGCTAGGGAATATTAGCATGCTTACTTTTGCCCTTTTCTGTTTGATGTTTTTCTTTACTAATTCTAATTAAGAGCATATGGTTATGTTTTTAAAATATTGGGATGCAAGACGTCTCTTTTACAGGAAATAGTTCACAGAAAAAAGAGATGGTAAGAGGTCTATTTGGAGAATTAGATGAAAGTAAAACAGGAAAGGTAAAGTACCCAACTAGAAAAGAGAGGAAGACTTAAGGAAATTATCCCAGATTTGGGCAGATAGTTCCTGATGAAAAGAGGTACAAAAATCCTCAACAGAATATTAGCAAACTGAGTCAACAACACATTAAAAAGATCATTCACTGTGACAGCGTGGGATTAAAAGACTTTCAGATAGGAAAGGAAGAAATGGAATTGTTTGCTGATGACATGATGTTATATATAGAAAAATTCTATCAAAGGCCTTATGAAAACTGATAAGTGAATTCAGTAAGCATACAGCACAAGAAACTATCTGAAAAAGAAATTAAGTAACAGTCTCATTTACTATAGTATCAGAAGAAATAAAATACCTCAGTAAACAAAGGAAGCAAAGAATCCATACTCTGAAAACTACAAAGCATTGATGAAAGAAATTGAAGAAGATATAAATAAATAGAAAGATAGCATTTATTCACGGATTGGAAGAATCAATATTGTTAGAATGTCCAGGCTACTCAATGTAATGTACAGGTTTTGTGGAAGGCTTATTGAAATTCTAATGTCATTTTTCATAAAAAACAAAATCTTAAAATTCATATTAAACCAAAGACCTCCTGAATAGCCAAAGCAATCCTGAGCAAAAAGAACAAAGCTGGAGGTTCAGACTCCCCAATTTTGAAATATATAATAAAGGTATCATAACCAAAATAGCATGGTGCTGGCATAAAAACAGACACAACAAACAGTGGATCAGGATAGAAAACCTAGAAATAAAGCTGTGCATTTATGCCAGCTGATTTTCAGCAAAAGGTACCAAGAACACACAATGGGGAAAGGACAGTCGTTTCAATAAATGGTGTTAGGAGAACTGGATACCCACCTGCAGAAGAATGAAATTGAAATCTCATCTCACATTATATACAAAAATCAAAATGGATTAAAATACCTGAAATTATAAAATTTCTAGAAGAAAATATAGGAGGAAAAAAGCCCTGTGTACTAGCCTGCACAATAATTTCTCAGATAGGACCCCAAAAGCACGGACAGCAAAAGCAAAAATAGATAAATGAGGTTGCATCTAACTAAAATGCTCCTACATAGCACAGAAAAAAAAAAGAAAGAAAGAAAAGGGGCTGGTGGAGTGGCTCAAGTGGTAGAGTGCTTGCCTAGTACGAGGCCCTGAGTTCAAATTCCAGAACCACCACAAAAAAAGAGTGGAAAAAACAACTTACAAAGTAAAGAAATTATTTGTAGACCATACCTTCTATAAGGAGCTAATAAAATGCAAAACATATAAGGAATGCAACTCAATATCAAGAAAACAGTCTGATTAAAAAATAGGCCAAAGACTTGAACTAATGTTTTTCAAAAACAGATATACCAATGACCACCAGACATATGAAAAATTGATCACTATTTCTAATCATGAGGAAGTGCAAATTAAAACCACAAAGGATTACAGGTGTGTGCCTCACGCCCAGCTTTGCATAGTCTTTTAAGTTCTATATATTTTATGCAAATGCAGATGTAGTATTTTTAGATAATCTGAAAGATTTAAAAATTTACTCAAAATCAGAACTAACCCATATGTCCAAGCTGTTTTTCTGTTGCTAAGTTAAAATCTCTGGAATATTTTATTAAAGTGCTTTACCAGTGATTTTTTTTTTTTTTTGGTGTTACTGGAGTTTGAACTGAGGGCCTTGTACTTGCTAGGCAGGTGCTCTACCATTTGAGCCACATTAGCAGTTCTTTTTTGCTTTAGATATTTTTTGGATAGGGTCTCACTCTTTTTTGCTAGTACTGGCCTTAGCCTCTAATCCTCCTACCTGTTCTTCCCACATAGCCGGGATTACAGGTGTGATCCATCACACCCAGCTTGTTTGTCAAGATGATGTCCTACTAACTTTTTGCCTGGGCTGGCCTTGAACCACAATTCTCCCAATCTCTGCTTCCCCAGGACCTGGGATTATAGGCACGAGCCACCAAGCCTGGCCCAACTGGTGATTTTATGCACTCCAAAGGTTTAAAACTATTGCTAAGGCTCTGCCTTAGAACCTGGAGGTATGGATGAAGTTGAGAAGTTTAAAACCACCTTTTCCCTTGTTCTATGGAAATAGTTTTATAAATTGTAAAGAGTATGAGATAGTTCATAAAAGGCAGCTTAATTCATAGCATAAGCTAAAACAGCACTACGAGCATTAGCAGCCAGCTTCTTGCATTTATCTCTTTTTAAAACTTGAGTCAGTTATTACAATTTTGTTATTTTTATGTTAGGCTAAGGTATTTTATGATATAAATATTCTCCCCTTTGAGTAAACCTTTTAGTTTTTAAGTGTTTTATAGCTTGTCAGTAAAATCATTGTTTTGCTTTTGAAAACAGGAAAATTCTTCTAACATACTTTCAGAGTTAGATGAAGAATTTGATAGTTTGTACTCTATATTGGATGAAGTAAAGGAAAATATGGTTATCAGTATCAAGCAGGAACAAGCTCGTAAATCACAAGAGTTACAGGTGAGGTCATACAACTATTTCAGTATGAACATTTATCCTATTTAATGCTTGGTTTAATGAAAGCAAAAGTTAGTGGTGGTTTTCTGAATGTAACTATACCTTTATCTTATAGGATATTAACTTTGTCTTGACATAAATGCTGCTTTTGAAAATTATAGTTAAAATAATAAAATTTACCCTCAACAGTTTTTTAAGTATACAGTTTATTGGTTCACATCATGTTATAGAGCTCACAAACGTTTTCATCTTCTTACACAACTAAAACTTTATACTCCCTGAAACAACAGCTCTTCATTTCCCCTCTCCTGCCATCTCCTGGCAATCATGTTATTTTGCTTCCATTATATTGATTACTGTAGTTACCTCATTGAAGTGTAACTGTACAGTATTTGTCTTCTTGTATTAATGTTTATAAGGCTCATCCACATTGTAGCATGTGCCAAAATTTCCTTCTTTGTATGGATGGGTAGTATCTCATTAATTTATATATAACATTTTCTTTATCTGTTCATCTATCTATGGACATTTGTGTTGTTTCCACCTCTTGGCTATTGTGAATAATTCTCCAGTGAGCATGGGTATCCAAATAGTTTATCTTTAAGAAACTCTCTTTAATTCTTTTGGATGTACACCTAGAAGTCCTGTTGCTAATCATACAGTTTTCTGAGGAACCTCCACACTGTTTTCCATAGGAACTGCAGTTTCACATTCCTACCAGCATTGCGCAGGGATGTTTGTCCGCATCCTCACCAACACTCATTTTCTGTTTTGTTGGTAGTAGACATAATGGGTGTGAGTTAATATTTTGTTATGGTTTTGATTTGCATTTCTCTAATGATTGGAAATGCTGAGCATCTTTTTGAATGCTTGCTAGATATCTGCGTATTTTCTTTGAAGAAATTTCTATTCAGGTTTTTTGCGCACTTTTTAATTGGGGTTACTTATTTTTTGTTCTTTATACATTCTGATTTTTATTTTGTTTTTAATTTTGTACTACTAGAGATTGAATCCAGTGCCTTGTGCATACTAGGCAAACACTCTACCACTGAGCTACACATACCCCCGGCCCTAAATTCTGGATATTAACCTCTTACCAGATAGATAGGACTTGCAGTTGTTTTCTCCTGTTCTGTAGGTTACCTTTTCTCCCTTTCAGTTGTTTCCTTTACTGTGGAGAAGTTTTTAAGTTTGATATAGTCCCATTTGTCTATTTGCTTTTGTTGTGTGGGCTGTATTCAAGAAATCATTGCAAAGTACAGTGTCATGAAGTTTTTTCCCTATTGTTTTTTTCTGGGAATTTTGTAATTTTAAGGCTTAGGATAAGGTGTCTCATCTGCTTTTAGTTTTTACATAAGGTGTAAAGTAAGGGCTTTAACTTTATTCTTTTGCCTGTGGAGATTCAGTTTTCCCAGTACCATTTGTTGAAGAGACTGTCCTTATGTGTTGGTGTCCTCATTAAAGATTTTCATTTATGTGAGTGCTTCTTTTTGGGCTATCTGTTCTGTTCCATTGCTTTGTGTCTGGCTTTATGCCAGTACTATACTATTTTGGTTATTGTAGCTTTGTTTTAAGACATTTTGAAATCAGTGTTGAGCCTTTTACTTTGTTCTTTTTCAAGATTGCTTTGGTTGCTTAAGGTTCTGTATCAATTTTAGAAATTTTATTTCTATTTTTTTCCAAAAATATCATTGGGATTTGGATAGGAATTGCATTGTATTAGTAGATTGCTCTGGGTAGTATGGACATTTTAACAATATTAAATACTCCATTTATTTGTATTCTCTTTAATTTCTTCTAGCATCATTTTATACTTTTCAGTATATGTTGGTCTTTCATTTCCTTGATTAAATTTACTCCAAAGTATTTTGTTCTTTTTACTGCTATTATGAATGGGATTGTATCATTAATTTCTTTCTTGGATTATTCAGTTTTGATATATAAAGATACAATTGATTTTGGTCTCAGATATCTTTGAGAATCTGAAAGACATGGAAAAATACAAACTGTTTTTCTCTTCTATACATACAGTGTATGCACAAAATTTCTAAGAATCAAATACCTTTAAAAAGGGCTATTAGAAATTTAACTCAATTATCATATTACATTGGATTTTTAAAAATTTGTTTACTGTTTTCATCATGTCTTACTGTTCTTGCTCTAAAGATAGCATTGTAAAGGAATTTGAAAAATCTTGAAAATGTCCTATATTTTAATGTTTAAAATTCATACTTGAGGACCTAGTGTAAGATGCCTGTATCTGCAAATTGATATAAGCCAGTGATAATATCTGATTTCCATTATCTAGTTTTCATACATTTGTTCAGTAAAATTTGAGCAACTCAGTAGAAAACTACTGTCCTGGATTTTGGGTGTGTAGCAGAGAGTAAAACAGTTCTTGCCCTCATGGATTTCACGTTCTTAATAGAAAGTCATTTGGAAAAAGTACAAAAGAAAGTAAAATCAGATCATTTTGTCAAAGAGATTAGAATTTATAAGGGTAAGCAAAATCATATGTAACACAAATATCTGATTTAAGAATAATGTAAACACTACACAGCTTACATAATATACAGCAGTCATGAAGGGAAATTAAGAAGCAGTTCCTTACAAGTTGGATGGTTTCTGAAGAGCTTGATGGAGGAATAGTTTTCTTTATACAGGGAACAGACAGAAAGCAGTTCATTTGTTGACATCCCAAGTAGCTAGGATTGTAGGCGTGAACCACCAGTGCCTAGCTGAAGGATACTTGTAATATCATCCATGTCATAGTATCTGGGTCTTGGTATTTAGGAGTATTGTTCTTTGCTAATTCAAGATGTTTGAGATTTCAGAATTAGATAATCTATACTCATGAATTTTTGGTTTAAAATATGCTTTGTATTTCCAGAAGAAGTGTGATATTTTCATATCAGAACTTCTTTTCTCTTTGTCTTTTTATTACTATTTTTCTTTCTTCCAGGACTTATTTTCTGATAGCCTTATACAGAGCTAGAGATATGTATGTACATATGAAATCTATATTGCCCTTCTTGGAACAGGTTGTATTTGTTGCTCTCATAAGCTATTATATTTATATTTTTAGTTATTGACTAAATTCTTAGCAATGCATTAATTGGTTTATATAAATTTATCCGAATAGTTTTTGTCCTGCAGTCTCAGTAGAACTCCATCCACTTTGTGTTTGCAAATCTTAATTACAATAATGAGTTTAATAATTTTTTGCAGTTTATCAGATTCATTTTTCATTAAAATTGTTTTTGGGATCTTTTTTAATAGAATGACTTTAATTTTTGATCAAGGATTCTATGAATAATCTCTTGGTTATCCATGAGGAATTTAAAGTGTTGCAGAAAATGGTTTTAAAATATTATCTGGAAATGGTGACAGCAGGGATAGTCAATACTATTTTTAATTGTTATATCACCATATCAGCTCTATAGTAATTCCATTGATTTTTTCTTTTGTCTTACAGTTTATTGTGTGTAATTTTTAATATTTATTTTTCCTCAATACAACAAAAATTTAGACAATTTAAAAAATAGGAAATGGCAGTCTGGGGATGATCAAGGGATATTAAGGGGACAATAGGTGTTTGCAAATAAGGCTGTGAGTCACTGAAACAAAACTTAGTGAACCTAACTGTTGATTCTAGAATATATTTTTGTGTTCTGATTCAAAGGAAAAGCTATGGCAATATCAGTCTAATGAAATTCTACCATAAAATTGTCTTGGGATAGTTTAAAAACCAACCATGAAAAGGAATCACAGTTTGGCTAGTTGTTTCTTTAGTTGGAGATTATAGAGAATCTCTGTTCTGCCGTTAGGTTCACAAAGTTATTCATATTTTCTCTGAATAACTGGTAAATTAGTCCTCATAAGTTGCTTTCTTCTGTAGCCCACCCTGTTTTTTACTTTCTTCCTTGACTTGAAAACAAATCCGTATGTTTTTCGGATTTGAAGTTATCACTAACGATATTTTCACATGACCTACAACTGAGAGGGAGGAAGAGAGAGAGAGAAAACCAAATAAGAAAGATTGTATTAGATAGAATTAATTCATATGTGAGCATGAAGACAGACTATTTCACTATAACAGTTCTTGTATTTTGTTCATCTTCATTCCTTTTGAATTTTAGTTATTTGGATTTGTAGTTCCGTGCTATCCAATCTTGGAAACTAAAAATTAAGATTTTTAATAGTATGCATTACTTGAGTAGTGTGACAAATGGAATGCTGAGGTTGTGCTCAATTGAAATGTGCCTGTATCTTAATTTACAAACTTCAGGTTAGATAGCTAAATATCATCAAGAAGTTTAGTCTTCATTACAGAGAATGTTGTCTGCAGATAGATTATTTTGATATCTTAATTTAAATTGTAGTTAGTTTTCTGGCTACCCTGACGGGGAAGAATCTTTAAGTGAATTTGATTCCAGTTGTTTATAATTGCTTTGTTATAAATTATGAGTGTATCTTAATCTATATACAATTAAGCTGTTTTGGATAAATTATGGAAAGAGGTTAAGTAGTAAGAATTAAGATAATTAAAATTTCAATTATTGCTATTAAAATTACTTGTATAAGTATATTATAACAATATATAATCAAGATTCCGATGGCAATGAAACTTCATTTTAATGATTTAGGCTTTTTCTTCCTCTAGAGCCAGCTTAGTCAGTGTAATAATGCCCTGGAGAACTCTGAAGAACTACTAGAATTTGCAACAAGGTCATTAGATATAAAGGAACCAGAGGAATTTTCAAAGGTACAAAAGAAACCAATCAAAAAGACTATATTAACACACTTTAAAATGAATGGGGAAAAAAAGGTGTTTGCAGTTTAGTTGTGGATTTTAGTTGTTTATAATACTGAGAAAGTGCTGGGGTTTCTTGCTAAGTAAAATGATAGCTGTTCATTTATTTCAAAGCAGATTCTTAGAAATATATATCTTTGGGGTCATGAATAAGTCGATTAGTTTATTGTTTTCTTTTTCACTTATTACCCCTATTGATAATTTGCTTTAAAGGTGGTTGTGTACTTGAATTGAGTTGTAATTTTCTTAAAAGCCTTTTTGTGACTGAAGAAAATAGATTGATATTGCTATTAATATGTTTAAAATTAGTTTTGTATTCCTTCTATGAATTGATTAGGAAACCTCATCACTTGATACATATAAGCACAGTAACCTTGTAAATTTCATTATTGAAGACAAATGTCCTTTTGTTTAACTTCCATAATTGAGTATTTTATTAAAATATGAAAATGTAGGGTTATTTAAGGGGAATGTTTGGTATAAAAGTAAAAACAGTAGAGTAACTTAGGTTCTAGTTTTTAAGGGATTGCAAATTCTAAATTCTAAGGAGAGCTATTTTTATTTTAAGAAGGGCTATTTTTAAATGATTACCAATTTATCAAATTGAAACTCAGGAATATATAATATATTAAGATATAATGCAACGAGACTAAGGAATTAGTTATTATTAGCAAAATATTACTATGTGTTCATCAGGATAAGATTAAGTGTAATGCTCTTTACTTTACCTTTGTGGACTTTGTGGTAGCTGCATTGTTACAAAGGTGGCAGTATAATCCATTTGTATGCAGTTAGTGTTTTCATTTCCTGATTTTTCTGTGACCTTGAAGGCAGAAAAAACTTCCTTGAAAAAATGACATTACTCAGCCTAAATCTTTGAATTTTAAAGTTGAGGTTTAAAAATTACTTTCTTATCAAAATGAGTCAAAATAAAAGTAAATATACTAATTTACTTTTATTAAGTAGATAAAGTATTAAATATACTAATATACTAATTGATTCTTAAACTTGGAGGTAAGTTTTAAAGAAGTTTGCATTTGCACTTGATAGGACTTATAAAGAAGCCATGAGGAAAAATGTGTCTTAAAGTACTTTAATAATATGAGGTGTCACCTATCCTGAGGGCATTTATGTGATAATGTAAAGATCTGAAACATACCAAGAATCATGCAGAAAGCAAAAAAAAAAAAAGTCTTAAGTCATTGACTAAAATCCAGGTCATTATCTCCAGAAAGAGTATTTTAAGTAGTAATATTTAAATTATCATGTTCTCATATCTTAGCATTAAAACTGAATACGAAGCTATTCTATTTACCAACATTATACATAATCTGAAAGTGAACAAGTAAAAACAGCACTCAGTTTTAGAGCATACTTTCAGTTATTTTTTAAAGTGTTAGAAGTTCAGTTGGTAGTAAATATAAGCAGAAAGATCATCAGAAATGGGATTCAATCATTAGGTTTATTCTTGGATGGAAGTTTCCACTCCACCAAATCTGGCTTCTTTGCTAATAGCTGACATGCTATTAGATCCTTTATCAAAGATAATATTCCTATTCTCTTAGGCCATGAATTCTCCCTGTGAAAAGAGCTACACAGTAGAACAGTTTCCAAGTCAATAACTAATTATACACCTCATTACAATCCAGTTATTAGACTAGAGGGGAGGGATAGGTTCCTATTCATGAATGCCCACCATGGAATAAAAAGTACAGAGTAAGGTGAAAGGGGAACAGTGTCTTCTGCATTTGATCATTGGTGAAAAGAGAAACCGGTTTTAGTTTATCTTCCTTTTCTTATTCACAGCAACTCTCCATGAATATTGCTCAGTGTGGGTCAAACTCTGATTACTGGGAGGAGCACATAAAGTGAGGGGTGGAAGCTCACTCACTATTTTACAGGAAGAAGTATTGGCAGAAGTTCCTTCTATAGGCTGAAATCAGGAATGCTGGGAGGAGACAGAGCCCTCAACATAAAGCATGGGTATTTTAGTTTTGAAGGCAATTTAAAAACAAATGAGAAATGTACTAAGCATAGATCAAACTAATTTTCACCTTTATTGTGGGTGTTTATGTTTTACAGAATGTAGTCTCCTATTACTACATATGTGCTTAGTCATAATGTAAATGCATTCAGTACTGAATATCAAAGTTTAGTTCAAGTTTTTATGTAGCTTGTGCCCATCATAAGTAAGCACTTCAGCCTATCTTCAGCCTTCTTTGGGGTATTTCAAGTTATTTACTATGATTTTGTGACAAGTACTTTTTTTATTATTTACTCACATGTGTGTACAAGTACTTTTAAATGATCATACTTTTTGACAAATAGTACTTTACAGGACCAGATAAATAGACAAATAAATACAAAACTTCTAATGAATCAGTTATATGCAACTTGGTTTCTTTTTTTAAGCTGGTATTTTTACCTAAAGGAAAATAGCATTTTGAATCTATCTCTTTTTTAGTTCTCTGTTTCCTCTTGTTTTGTTTGTTCTAGGGTTTGAACTTAGGGCTTTATAACATATGTCTTCTGTGGGAAAGTAGATTGCCAGAAAAGTGAAAGGTTCAGATGCTGTTCATTTCCAGTTTTTCCTTTCAGACTCATAATCAGATAAGTCATATCCCTTAACAAGGAGAAATGAGGGAACAGAGAGGATAAGGGAGTAATGCTAGTGGCACTTCCTCCATGTATAAAGAGATACCAGGTGCAGAGAGGAGTCCCCTCTTTCCTTTCCTTAACACCTATATTAATATCTTTTAAATTTCTAACTACAGTGGTCATAATTGTTTAAAAATCAACATAATTGCCTAGCTTAACATTTCTTATTGGCAACATTTCTGATGCCAATCTAGTTTCATGATGCAAGGCACACATAAATGCCATAGAATTGGGTTTGTTTGCTATAGAATATGGACCTTAGAAAGGATTTTTAGAAACATTAAGGATAGTGCTTGCTTTGGCAGCACATATACTAAAATTGGAACGATACAGAGATTAGCATGGCCCCTTCACAAGGATGACATGCAAATTTGTGAAGCGTTCCATATTAAAAAAAAAGAAACATTAAGGACAAAACCTTTAGTAAAGAAACAAAATTATTAGTATACAAAGTCACAGGGTTAATTTATAGTAATGCCAGAACAGTGTAATCTACTGGTCTCTTAAATCTCAGTGCTTTTCTTTGGTTACAGAATGGTACTAAGGTCAAAACGTTTTAGGGTGGGTATAAAAATGACCAAAGCAAGTGGAAACTGTTAAAACTGAAGGAGAGAGGCAGTACAAGCACTGTTTTATATATATATATATATATATATATACACACACACACACATAGATATATATATACATAGATATGTATATATATATATTTAACATTCTGAACTATATTTAATACATATAACTATGTGTCAGATGATAAGTTTGCACTGGGAATAGAGTATTCAGCAAAACAGCCATGTTCTGTATCAACTGTACTGTTAACTATGCTGTTAGTGTGGGAGAAAACCTTTTGTTTAATATATTATATTGTAAGCAAATGTAAAGGGGCAACAGTTTTTGCTTATTTTTTTATGTCTACACAGCACCAAGTAATAGCTGTGTTTTCTTTCTGAACTTGTGCATGAATTTTCAAAAAGAAAGTGCAATAGGTTTAAGTTGGCAGCTTCTGTGAATCATGAGGGAAAGACCCCATTCTGAATGGTACTTCTCTGGTTTCTCCCTGTTTCAGTTTTTCTTTGTAGTAAAAAATTGTAGAACTGTAGCCTAGTTTTACATGTTAATAGGTAAGAATTCAGAATACAAAGTCCTTGCCCAGTGAGGGCATATAGAGAAAACTTGAAACAACCATTAACAAGCTGTGAAAGATCTCTGAAGAAAAATTAGAGAGCAGATGTGACAGACATATACAAGAAAACTATCAGGACAGAAATGTGTGTACCATGAAAGAGATTGAGTATTGTAATTTTAGAATGTCTGACTGAGTGAAAGTGGATGTGTGTTTTAATAATATTAAGGTAAGAAGAAACATAGTCACAAGGAATTAGTTTGAAGTGTTAAATTTTTCTCTTTTTAAAGTCATTATTATGGGATCTGGATTTTCTACTATTGTTCTAACATCACATTATGCAAGCTTATGTGAACTGTATGAATTTCCTGTAATTTATGTTTTAGTGTATATGAACTAATCTATTGCAGGGTTTATATCCTAACTTTTCTTGCATGTCACTGCCATTGAAACTTGCAACTTGCATGAACAGCACTAACTACCTTCTTTCTCTTCTCCCTGATTTGCTCCAAGGCTGCCAGACAAATCAAGGATAGGTATGGTATAAAATCTATATTTTTATTTAAGTATCAATATTGAAATCAGAAATGAAATTCAGAAACAACTTTTTATTAGAATATTCTGGGTTGAAATAATGATGTCCAGTGGCCAAATACAAAATAAAGAATATGTCTTCTGTGTATGTTCTTAGAATAATTAGATTATTTTAAGAACATAGTTGTGGACAATTGTATACTTGTAAAAGAATTTCATTTCTGGTATAATAATGTAGTTAGTCTTCGTTTTAGAACAGTTATACTAATGAAGAGGGAACTATTTTGGATAACTTAAATATATATATATATATATTTCTGGAATGCATTTTTTTTGCCCTTAAATATAAGTGGATCTGATTTTCAGAGAAGTCACAGTACTTTAACAGTCTTCAAGGGCTAACGCTCTCCTACTTCACTGCCCTCCTGTTTAACACCTTTGTATTCTCATTCTGTCCTGTTCCTGGTGCCATCTCTTTCTGTTTGGAAAGCCACCACTGTCTAGCTTATATTCTATAAGAAGAGAAAATTCAGGAAAGTTAGTAGGTGTTTCTTATTGGTGGAGTCAGAAATAAAAAAGGGAATTTAGCACTTTCTAGAATGAATACATCAGAGTGTTAAAGAGCAGCTGGTAGTATTTGGATTGTGTTAAGATAGAGGAATGGTTTTAATTTGCCTGACTAGTCACTGAGAACTGTCTGTAGTGAGGCTGTAACTGAAGTGTTTTGTTTGTTTGTTTTAAATCTTAGGAACATGAGATAGTGTGAAAGGCATAGCTCTTTTTTTTTTTAATTTGCTTTATTTTTTGGGTAGTACTGGGATTTGAACTCAGGGCATCACACTTCCTAGACAGGTGCTTTACCATTTGAGCCACTCCACCGGCCCCCATAGCTCTTAAAACACTACTGTGACTCTTAGATTATCTTTCATCAGATAATTAATGAAAATATTCATTATAGATTATGTGAAGATCAGTGTCTCTGTTGTTAATCTTGGAGAAAATTTCAATTCTGGGTTTTCTTCATGGTTTTTTATTTGACTAAGGGCAAGAATTTACAAAGTAGTCAAAGCATTCTTAGCATAGGTATTAATTATTATTTTTATTGTTTATTTTATATCAGGCAGTTGTTAAAGATACAGACCATTATAAATACTGAATATAGAAAGAAGATCATGAGAGTATTTTTTTTCAATGAATGGAGTTTTGCTATGTTGTCCAGGCTGGTCTTGAATTCCTATGTTCAAACATTCCTTTTTCCTCTATTCCCACATGCCACTGTGCCCAGTGTGACCATGGGAGTTTGAAGGTGTAAAATATTGGCTATATGAGGAATGAATGCTAGAGAGAACAGTATTTTGATAAGGTATATTTGGACTGTGCTGAAATTTGCTGTGAGCAGTCCATTTTCCACTATGGCTAGATTATTCTTCCTGATTAGTTACTATTCTGTTTTGCTCCAGTTCTTGATTTCAGGTTTTGGGCTGTCCAAAGACCTTGTGAGAGACCTTTAAAATCTCTCCTACATATCAAGATTCTGTATGGTTTTGTGCTTTTTAGAAACCTGTTCTTACTCCTGATCACTTTCTTTTTGTTCAGATTTGTTAACAATTTGATTTTCATACCTTTATGGCTGTATTTGTCACTGAAACTTGATGGTTTTTACTTCTACTTGTAAAGCCAGCCTCTTGACTTGATGAATCCAGATTATCTCAGGAGTTAGATTTCCTTAATTTGTGCTAGGGAAAAGTCCCATGTTTTTGTTTTCTTGGCTTAAAACCTACACATGCTTTTTAGCTACCCACAAAATACTTCTTTCGTGTCTGAGGAATGTTTCCAGGTCTTGAATTAATTTTTTTAAACTTGATTTTTAGCTTCATAATGTCCACGATTCCCTGATATACTTTCTGTTCTCTGAGGAAGTGAGTTTCTAGAATTTCATCATTGTCTTTTATAATATGAAAATAATTAAAACAGTCATAATGAAATATTTTCACCAAAGAAAGAATTATTTTCTATATTAAGGCAGAGATGGCTTTTAAAGGAGAATGTGTAGTAAACATTGAACAAGGAATCAAATATAAAAAATGAAAGTATCTATAGAAACTATCATTTGCTGTAGCAGAAGTTAGGCAGAAGAATATTGAAAGATGATTACTTGAGGCAGATAGTGGAAACTATTGGTTCTTGGAAAAGAAGAATCATGAAGGGAAGAGAGTCAAATTAGGTAGTTTGAGAAAATTAAATGTGTTTATATGTCTCATAGTCATTTTCTCTTTGCAAAAAATAAAAACCAGAGGAAGGGATCCTTTCATTTAGCTGGTAGTCTTAAAAATAAATTTAGAAAATCAAAATGAATTATAACATAACCACATGGATCTGTTAGTTTAGAGAATAGTTTATGAATTTTAGAATTTTAGTTTGAGTTTTAAGGCATATTTGTCTAAATATATTCAGTTTAAAAATATATTTTCAGTTTTTTGTAAGATTATAGCACTGTTGCACATCTGAATTGATTCACATAAAGTTTTGAGTTTTTATTGGCTAGGAATTAGTTTTATTTACTAGGCTTTTAGACTTTGCACTTTTGGTGGACATTCTTTTTCTTTGTGTTTCATAGTGTTTAAATCAAGTTTTACAGATTTCAGATTTAGAATTCTCTAAAATACTTCCAGATATTTTCCTCAATTTTCTCATTACACAATTAAATAATTTGTAAAGTTTAGAAGAACCCAAGTAGGTTCAAACACATTTACTGACTCAGTGCTTTATTAGGTATCTATCTGAATATAGCTCATTAAGAAGTCTTCAAATCAAAAGATACATGGGGCTGTAAAGAAGAACATATATAAGACTTAGTCTTTGGTCTTAACTTCTTATTAGTATAACCTGAAATTTTATTTTTGAGAACCAACACCTTAATGTAATGTGTGAAATACTCAGTGTTATATTTGACACATAGTAAGTATTCAGCCAGCTTGAGTTCCAGTCCCCATAATTTGCATTTCAATATTATAGTACTTTCTTCTTGATAAAATAAATCAACAGTTGTTTATTCATTGTGACCATTAAATAAGGTGATTGCTTTCTTAGTTTTAAAATGAATAAAATAACTGAATAGAGTAACAGCTTGACATCTTTCATCAAAATAAGGGAATCATCAAGTTTGACATCTTTTATCCCATTGGTCTCTTGGTTAGATTTGGCAGAGCCAGTTGACTAGGCCTGGTGTTCCCTTTATCCCTCTAGCTCTATTTACTTCCTCACTCAAATTGTATATGAGAACAGTATTCATAAGTAGTACTGCTACATCATTTTTGATCAGAGATAATAAGGGACTTTGTGATAATTGTGGAAATTTATTAAAATATGAAAAATCAAAATTTGAGAAAAATTATAAATTAATAGAATGAGTTTCTTTTGGTGTCCAGTTTTAATTGGGGACTGTCATGCTTTTGATGAAGTAAGGTCTGGTTTGGCTTCATTCTTGTGTTTTTCATTTCACATTCATATAAATGTTTATTGCACTCATTATTTCTATGAAACAGGGCATTTCTCATAGTATCTTTCCTTGTAGGTGATGTTGATAGATCAGAGTGACATGTGGCTAATATGGTACTCACCATTCATGATTTTACTTTCTCACCCCTGGCCTCACTTTAGCAGATACTACTATACTGTACAATAGTAGACCCAGCTGCTGCTTCTGTTTTTGAGGATACTTGGTATAGAAGGGGAGGATGTTTGAATTAAGTTTTATGTACAGTTCATTATTTGGTGAATGAAAAGGAGTGAGGCTGGCATCAGGAAGTCAGAGAGATTGAGTGTACAGAGGTTCAGATGAATGTTGAGTCTGGTAAAGATTATTGATATTGGATATTTGTTTCTTGTGAGTTTGTATATATATATATATATATACTATATACATATGTATATAGTATATATATATATATATATATACTATATATATATGCAATTTCATAAAACTGGCCAGAGTTGCTAAAAGTTATGTTAAATGTCTTTAAAAGGCATTTTTCAGTTTTCATTTAATTCTCAAAAGACAAAAGCAAATTTCTAATTGACTATCTACCTTTGCTATAGTCTCTGAAATTGATTTATCTTTTCATTTTATAAATTAAGATTTGAAACTTCCCATTCATTTATTCTAAAAGGTATGTTTGTGTTTACTATAGAGTCACAATGGCTTCAGCCTTTCGTCTTTCTTTGAAACCAAAAGTCAGTGACAACATGACTCATTTAATGGTGGATTTCTCTCAGGAAAGACAGATGCTGCAAACTTTGAAGTTTTTGCCAGGTAAATACATGTATTACATGTACAATTTTGAATAAAGCCTTTTTTCTCAAATTTTTTTTCTGTAATGAATATTGGCATGTAAATATTAAAGAAGTATAGTGTGTTTTTTCTTCATTCAACTAAGGAATAAATCTGCAGTTATTGTTTTTAGAGAATTATTTTACTGGTAGCAAAAGTTCCATTTCAAGACTCCCACTAAAAGATACCATTTGTTGATACTTTGACAGAGAGAACCAGTATAGTGTGATAGTTAATGGTGGGTTTTGAGGCCAGATTTCTTAGATTTGAATTTTGCTGCTAACTTGCTGGTTAATCTTGAACAAATTAACTTGCCTCATTTTCTACATCTTTAAAATGA